GATTGATTCTAAGGAGAGAGCTCCTCCTGTGTGTTGTTCCATTTGTGCTGTAGAAACTACAACAATTCAGAGGAAAACTGTATTAAAAAACAAACAGTATTATTAGGTGAAATTAAAGGGCTATTAAAAACTAGGAAGGCAAACTGGACTTCCTCTAACTTAGGCAGTAATGTTGGCTTTGTGTTTGTTGCTGCACACTGCATCATCTCCCCTGCTTCAGCAGAGAAGCTTAGTTGGGTGAATGTACTGAATGCAAATGTCTCTGGGCTTTTGGGTTTAAATCAGCCATTAGCACTGCCTTTTATTTTATCCAATTAACATTTATACACTCAGGAAAGGAATATTTTCTTAACCTAGCAATAGGGGTTTATATTTTCCTTTTTACATCCTCAAGTACAGACAATAACCACCCTAATGAGAGTTGAGGGATCTTTTTTATTTGATGCATTCTGAGGGAAGAGATTTCAGTGGGAAAAATGATTGGTGATGGGTGATTATTGTTTCTGGAAATTTTGCTGCAAGACTAGAAAGACAAATAACTGCTAAAGCCTGCCACATTCCTCAAATAGTTATCTCCTGTGCTAAAGGGACAACTGCTGCCCCACACAAATGAAGAGCACAATGATATTTAAAATATAAATTTATGCAAGTTATGTCCTTTAGCTTCAACTGTGTGCTGGAATGAGTCAGCTAGTGAAGAATAAGGTTTAAAGGAACTTAAAGCACCAGAGCATGTGGCAGGACCCAATTCAGCTCAATGAACTAGCATGCTACATTCAGAATGAGATCTGGATTATTTTGGGAACGCAGCTGGGTCCGTTATGGACCACAGGCTTGAACCATAGCCTGAGAGATGGAAATAGCCTTGCTAATAGCAGTCCTCTTCTTGTAGAAATAGTCACTGGAGGTGCTTTATATTGTCCCAGGTGTCTGCCTGGATATGGTTATACCCCCATGTGAATTTTAGAAGGAAGCAGAACAGGCAAACCCCACTCTTTGCCCCAGATTGTCCTTTTAGCTCTCAACACATCAAGCCTCTGGGCAGTTGCTAAGAAAAACATGCAATTCCCAGAGTGTCTCAGTGGCCCTTTTGCCAGAGAGGGTTAAAACCATCTCTTTCACAGGAACATAGTCAGATGTTGTGAGGAACATATTGCAGACCAGACAAATAGGGAAGAAATATCAGATGAGCAAAGATTTAAAAAACCCTGAAGCCCTACACTCCACTATATCACTGATAAAGAAGCATAAGATTGCAGTTTCATAAACTTTCTAATTCTCTTAGGAAGATTACTGGAACTTTCTCCTCTGGAGTTGCCTTTCTGGTGACATCTGTAACAAAACAAAAATAAAGCTTCAGTTCTCCCTGAAGTGCTTGTAGGTTAAAGCTATAGCTCTCCCTCCCCATATCTGATGAATAGAGAATGCAGCAGTATTCTCAAATTTCTTAGTGTTTATAGACACAATGATTCACCCTTCTAGCTGCTGGTAGTTGTGTGATAATTGAAGATAAATCTGAGATTCTGTGGAACAATGAAGAAGCAAATACTCCTGAGCATCTTTTGAAAGAGAATTTTTTTCCCCCAAAGTATTTTGTTCTCATCAAATGCAAATTTAGATGTTTGTGTCAGAGATCACAATCTGTATGCTGTTTATTTTAAGGAGAAGTCTTACAACATTCTTTTCTTTGTAAAGACTCAGAAGCAGGAGATGAGAAAGTGCACGATTTTTATCCATGCTTGTACCTACCCACATTTTGCAAAGTGAGAGTTCTCATTTTACTACAGGACATACAACTCTTCCTCTGTGTTTTTCATCCCCATAGAGTGGTGACACCTCCAGCAATTCACCTCATGCTTCACAGCCTCAGTGAAAGGTGGGGACGCTTGCTGGTGGTGCGAGTGTGAAAATGAAAATGTTACATGAATGTGGCTTCTGTGTGACAGCCCTTAGCTCATCCCTCCCCACTCCCAATCCCACTCCCATCATCCCTCCCCACTCCCAATTTTGTCTTCTGGAGCAGTCAGCACAGTGCTAATTATCTTGAGCCAAACCCACATAAGTATTAAGGTACCTAAAAACTAGAATACTTGTATTTACAAAAGTGAAAGTAATTAGGCAAATCCTCTAAAGATTTTGACTCAAATTTCCTAATTATTTCACTGATGTCTCTTTTATAAAGTTTTCTTGGGGCTTTTGTGGATATTGCACTTCTAAATATCTAGCTGTGGCCATCCTGCGTGTTGGGGTGTGCTGCTGTGATGGATGTCCAGTGTGAGAATTTGGTACCTCTGTGGACAAGCAACATGCTCTACCACGGATTACCCATTAATAACCATTCAGTACCCAAGCTTGAGTAAATCCATTTTCCTATTTGTCTTCTTACAGGCTGGGTCTCCAGGCATTGTGCAATCTCCACTGACAGCATAGGTCTGACACTCACAGAAAAAAACAGCTTGAACTTTTCACAATTCCAAATCAATTTTCTCTATCAAAAGTGTGATTTTTAAAAAGATAATATATTCCTTTTTGACTAATCCTATTGTTCTTTGTGCAATGGATAGAAGCAATTGAAATATCCTGCTTTATGTTTGCATTGTCTGTTGAGGAGGAAACACCCAAGAATTGTTATGTGAAAATGTTTCCCTGGGGAAGTAGAGTCACACACACTTTTTTTTTCCCCTGTTCTGAGAAAAATCCCTAAGTAGTCTGTCCAGGTCATTTTCCACAGCCAGCACAGCTCCTGACACGTGTTCTTTCCCCCTAGGCAGGGGACACAATAACTCATTACTGCTGCAGGACTCTTCCTTGGTGATTTAGTCAAGTTGCCATCTGACTCCCTGATTAATTCACACAGCTTCCTCACAAACTCTTCCTTAATAAGGTGACAGAGTTCTGGCTCGGCAGGTTCCCCCTCTCTAGCAGAATAATCCTAGGGTTTTTTGCAGCATGCAGGCTGCTGGAAAATCTCCTGGGTCTGGACAAGCTGTTTGAAAAGTGACTTGGCTGCATGCTAAAGCCATGGTGGCTGTGTCTCCTGCTGTCTTGCAAGGAGATTGCCATGGTAGTGCAGATAGCCTCTTTCAAACCCTCTCTCCTTGCTTCTCTCTCACTGAGCAGCAGAAACACTTTTTCAAAGGCAAACATAAAAGCTATTAAACAGAAAGGGAAAACAGACCACCGAGGTGTGAGAGAGAGCACCTTCCAAGTCACAGATCAGTGGCCAAGTGCGTATGTGTAAATCATTTAGGAGCAATTTGTACAAAAATGCCCACAGGTGCCACCTTCTAGAAGCAGCCACTGGTCCTGCTCTGCCCACTCTGCACCTTGGTTTCATCAGCCCAGCAGTCCCCATGGCACTGCAGCACTTCATGCACAGCCGCTCGCCCAGGCTGCTCCTCGTCCTTCCCTGCAACCTCTCCAGTCTGTTTTCACCTTTTGCCTGGCTCTCAGTTGGTATCCCAGCACATCTCTTTGAATTTTCTGTTCTTTATCAGCAGCCTTCTCCCTCATGGCCAATTTCTGTTTCATGGTAATATGCAGAAAGTGGATATATAGGTAAAAGAGTTAATTAGGAACTTTGAATGGAATCTCTGAAGACCCAAGTTCTGTGGTTAGGTTTAAAAGGGGTTTTTGTCTCCTGAATATAAATCTGACAAGATATAAACTTTCATGGCATCTTAGAGCACTGAAAGAATCTGTTTCCTTTAAAAACAACAGAGTTATTTTTAGCTATTTTAAATAGGGGATTGGGCAAGATGACCCTAATTTCCAACCTCAATCACTCTGTAATATTTATACATCTGGGAAAGAAAATTCCCTTCTGAGGATCTCTTACCTTGTTACTGTAATAATCCTGACAAATTCATCTCTTCTGCTTCGTGCATGTTGTAATTCTGTCTGAGAGAAGACAAATTAAACAGTTCCCACGTTTCACAGAACAAATAAATTGTGAGGTGGGACTGGGAATGGTGTAACACCAACCGAATGCAAAGAGTGGGTCTTGCACCAATTATTTACTTAATTTGGAAGGAGTAATTTTCACAAGTTCTAGCAGATGTGAACCTGCTGTGGTGCAGGCTCTCAGTATTATTTTTTATCTCCTCTTTTGTATGAAATGTGCAAGATGAAATGGTTTGTTGTTTGGAAATGGCCATTTGACATGAAAATATTTCCTCCTACAGTTTAACAATATGTTTGAGAAAATCTTTTCAAAAACATTTGAACAGCAGTTAGCAACTCAAGACTTTTATTCCTATTAACTTAAGTAATTCTGTAATGTAATCAGTCAAGGTATGGGCAGGGGTCAGGAATGCAGTGTGAAAACACACAAGTGAGAATCATTGTCCAAAATAAATGCTAGTTACATAAAACATGAGAAATAGACTTAGTAACAACTTCAGTGTTACAACACAGTGCTTAGAGTTAATGAACAACATTGTGTTATTTATGAATTTTTCAGTTCAGTGTCTGATCCAAAGAACTATGGGAACAATACTTTGAAAGGGTTTCCTCCATAAATACTTTTTTCTCAAAAACAAATTTGAAGCTTCCATTTATTGTTTTTGAAGGTTTTTTTGACTCAGTTTGTAATTGAAATATTTTTGTACTCTAATTTAAATTATTTTAAAATTGCAGGTTGAAACACTCTATTTATAACATGCAAACAGAAATGATTGCAATTATCCAATGGCACCTTTCCATGGCTATCATTTCTTTCACCATAATTGTCAACAAATATTTTGTATGCAGCATGGAGCAGGATATTTAACACTTTTCTAAATTGTGCCCTCTCTTCCATGTATCTATTGCAGAAAAAATATCAGATTATAGTCACTAATATAAGCCAGCCAAAAGATTGAGGTTTTGCTCCTTCCTACATTCACCCTGTTCTGTCACTTCCCACATTTCAACAACATCTCTGGTGATAAATGAGAAAACAAAATCTCTGCAATTTCAGAATAAAAATAGAAGTAAATGTAAAACAATAGAGGCTTTTGTGGAAGATTAACTTGTGTGATTTATATTTCAGTTGTAATAAAAGTAGATTAGAGAGGGTGGGGGTGACATTGGGATTGCTTTCTCTTCAGACTTCTGCTATCTGGAGCCTACAGAGAGTCACTTTTGAAATACTGTGGAGGAAAAAAAAAGAAAAACACAACTGACTATAAAAGATAATTCTCTTTATAGTTATCCTCACCATTTTCCTGAGCTCTGATTCTGAAAGTAAGTCCATTGGTGATGAACAATTGCACTGTGCATCATTTGTTGTGTTTAATTTCCCTCCCTTTTAAAAACATTTATTTTTAATTACAATTCTTATTATTATTATTAATTCTTAAAATATTTTATTTCAATTATTAAAACGTTCTCATCTCAACCGACAGGTTTTCTCATTTTCACCCTTCCTATTCTTTCCTTCATCCCACTGAGAGGAGACTCAGTGGGCAGCTTTGTGGTGTTCATTTGGGGTTATTCCACATGATCAGCATTTTCCTGCAGCCAGATTTGTTCCATGATGGTTCAGTGCAGTGGCTGGGTGGATAGAGGGTGCTGCAAAATATTGTTCTGTGTCATTTCTGATCTCAGGTCCCAGTATTATTCTGCTTTCTTGCAGTGTGTATAGCTGTTCTAACTGGAATATTTTCAATTAATCCTTGCACTAATCACCAAAACCCAAAGCGTTTTCATTTCTTTGCAGCAGTATTTCTTGAACTCCAGTGAGGAGGCTCCTGTCTCTTATCACAACTCTCTTTTCCTCTCCCTTCCTCCCACTCTAACCCCTGCAGCACCTGCACTTTTTATTCCTGGCAGCAGCTCTGCCCAGCTGGACAGAGGGAGGAGAATTAGGGCTGTTCTCTGGAAGTGGAAGGCAGGGTGGTTTTTGTGACTTGTTTAGGACCACTAAAGTGCTGTGAAACACAGCCTGAGAAACACTGTCTAGGAACTCATCTCTGATGATTTACTCTACAAACTGAAACATACTTGCCTAAATCCACTATAAACAGTCTCAGACTCAGGCCTAGTTTTGCAAAATCTTTTTTCAATATATTCTTAAGCTAAAATTTTTATAAACATCACTAAAATGCTAGCCTGAAATGTCAGCCTGAAATGTCACCTGGTCTTTCATTACCATCACCATTTTGTATCAGGTTGTGTTGACTTTCATATCTCAGTAACAATATGGATGTTATCCTCATTTGTCTGCAAGGCAAGAGAAAAATGAGAGTTAGAAGTAAGCCAGACAAAAACATTTACCCTTGCAAAGAACACGGCAAAGAGATAATCAGAAAATAAATATTTTTCAAATTAAAGTTTATATTTGATTGGAAAAGACTGACCTTTATTACTTTGACATGTATTTTTCCCTATCTGCAAGAAAGCAGAAAAGTGACTGGTGAGACAAACATTTAATGTATCAGAAAATTTACATTTAATTTGTAGGTAGTGTTTTTTTCTATTTTTTTTATTTTTATCACTTCTGTTTTGCAACCTGCAGTTCAATTAACTTCATCTTTCTGTATTATGTCTGAGGAGACAGAATATGAGTTACTGAGTAATTTCTGTATAATCTACTGCTTCGACATAATGCAGATATTTCAGGGAAGAAACTCCCTGAGCTTGGCCACCCTGAGAGTTTTTTACCCATTGAACAGTGCACCCATCCAAGACACTTTCTTCAAGACAAAGGTGTGGAAACAGCTTTACTGAGGTCTGGGTGGACACATCCACAACCTTTCCCTCCTCCACTAAGTGGTCCCCATGTCACAGAGGGAGCTCAGGCTGCTCCAGCAGGACCTGCCTTCTGTAAATCTGTGTTGGCTGTTGCCTGATCTGCTCCATTGTCAGAATCTGTGGTACTGATGATTCTGAGATTGTAGAAAGTCTCTGTCTGTCAGCCCCGCTGCCAAAGCAGAAGCCATAATTGGTCTGTGCTGTTTCCAGGTTGTTTATTCTGTTTATCTCTCACATGTTCTGCTGCCCTGCCCAGCTCTGTCCTGCAGGGCAGCGTGTGGGGCTCTGCCCTCAGTGGGATGTTACAAACATTAAATACCAGAAACTCCCTGGGCTGGATTTACAAGAACGTGCCAATATCTGTCACCTACGTTGGACAGTGTGTCCCCAGCCTGAACCAACAGAAAAATGCCAACACCACAGTGAAACATGGAGGGCATGAAGAGGAAGAAAAAGGACAAGGCACACCCAATTTCCTCCACCTTGTCCCCTTTGGACCCCTCATCTAGAATCCTAAAATTTTACTTTTGCATCCGTGCCACACTTAATTATTCCTTATATCAAACACTCAGAGCTTGTAATTCATCCTGTAAGATTGAAAACTCTTTTCCATGGACAGAGATCACAGCCAGTGTCTCTGGGGGCTCTGTCCAGGGGGGTTCCTGACCCCTGCCAGGGTCCCAGACCTGCCAGGGCAGCCAGAGGGAAGCTCTGGATTCTCACGCTCCATGACCTTTCCTGGCACCCAGTCAAGCTGACAGACCTGCAGCTCTCTCCTTTTTTTTTGCCAGTTTCCATCACAAGAAGTCAGAGATGACTCCTGTGCTCAGTCTACATCCATCTGTATTTTCTTTCCTTCCTCTGGTATCATAGACTCTGCTGGGGCAGACACAGCCACAGGGGTTTTTCTCTGGTTGAGCTACATTCCACATATTGGATTTCTAACTAGAATTATTCTTGTGATAGGACACTGCTCACAAGTAAAATGTTTTGCTAAAATAGAAGGCAAAAAACATTTATCCAATACTGCCCAGTCACCAGTGGCATACTCCCCAAATCTATGGAGCATTTCTGGAGTAGCTTTCCCTGCTCAAGTGAAGATCAAAAGGCTGATAAAGAGTAATAATACTCCTGAGGGAGAGATCAAAAAGCGCACCCAGCTGAATGAATAGATCTCAAATCTTAAGGTAATGACTTAGAAGGAAAGACATCCTCCCTTAAGCTATCCATATGCAAAAGTACAAGTTAAGAAAGTTCCCAAGGGATTGTGAAATTTTCAGGGTATCAGAACTCCTGCAAGCCCAGGAGAAAACAATTTAATTTTAATGATAGAATTAAATATAAAGACATTAAAGTAAAGAACAGACATGACCAGCTCATCAAAGTATTTATCTGAAAGAAGTCTATAGGCCCATATGGGCATTAAATCTCAAGAGTCTTATTAATACATTCTTTTCCTTCAATACTTTTTGCCTAATTGATTGCATAATTTTCAGTCCACCATTATGCTAAATGGGATTCATGTTCTAAGACTGTCAACTTAGAAAAGTAAAAGACAACAACATCTTCATGTGATCAAACACACCATGAGCAATCACTCTAAGACAGCAGCTCAGCCACATTTAATATCCCCAAAATATTACAAAGATGCAGTCTAAATTTGAGTGATGTTAAAGGAAGGGAGGGAATCATCCTTCCTCCATCGTTTTTTTAGGCAGTGACAATAGGGACAGCCTTTCTTACTCTTAGAATAACTGAACTTTAAAAACATGATGGAGAAAACGGACTGACCTTAAATTTAATAGTGGATATCACAGAGTATAAAAGAGTTCTTTAAGATGATTTAGGGATTGGAGCAGCTGTCATAGAAGAGGCTGGGAGAGTTGGGACTGTTGAGCCTGCAGAAGAGGACAGTCACAGAGATCTTCCCCTTGTGTAAGATAACTGATGGAGGGGAGAAAACAAGGTGGCACCAGACTTTCAGTGTTGCACAGTGAGAGAAGATGCAATGGGCACAAACTGAAATACAGGAAATTCTGTCTAAACATAAGGAAACACTTCCTCACTCTGAAGGTTGTCACACTCTGGAACAAGGTGACCAGAGAGGCTGTGGAGCCTCCATTCTTGGAGGCCCTAAAAATTTAAGCTGGTTGTGTTCCCAAAAAGGCTGGTCTAGCTGCTCCTGGCTCTGGGCTGGGTCTCAGCAGGCCACTCTGAGATTCTCTGAGCTGACTCGCTTAAAATAAATTACTTTCACAGCATTGTTTTATCAATTATCTAAGTTGTTCAATTTTGCTATGGCTGTATATGCATGAGTTGTCTCATAAGAAAGGAAATTGCTTCTAAAACTCATTGGTCCCACACAGGGTTTTTTCTGATCCATCACCTAGAAATATTACTATGGCAAAGTTATCAAAAGATTGAAAAAGGGATGGAAGGATGGTAGGTTTTGTTTACTTACACATGGTGCTTTTCAGAAGTTGGAGCTAAGCATACTTCTGACTTCTTTTCTTTTAGGGCAGTTTCAAAAGCAGTTGTTTTCTAATAAAAATGCACTATTTGTTTAAAAAAAAATGGTTTTCAAAAAATTAAAGTTCCTCTGCAAATATTTCTAGCTGATAATTTTTAGCCTGCCCTTGGTGCTTTTTTTTTTTTTTTCCTCTTTGCGCTGTATTAATCTTATCCTTTTTGCAATGTATTTATTCCCTCACCTCACAGGATAAAGTCTGAATCTAACATTCTTTGGTATATGCTCACCCAGTGTCTATTGGGAACACCTTTACCTACCTTCAGAGAGAAAATTAATAGTGGTAACAGTGAGAAAGTTGATGCTTAACAGGTAAATTTTCCAGAATTCTGGCATTTATTTGCCAGAGTTTTTGCAGGTAGTTTTACCTGTCCTATCTGCTGTCATGTTGTATATTCTTGTGTTTTATGCAGATTCCATGGAATATTAACCTAAGTAATCATTTCTAAAGTCTTATTAAGATAAGCTATAAATTTTTATTTGTGAATGATCTTAGAAATAGGAGCAAGTGCTCATTTTTCTAATTCATGGGAGAGAGGAAACAGCTGTTCTTGTTCCTGCAGAACTTTTCAGTTTTCCTTTGCTCTTTTCTTTGCTAGCCTGACCTCCACATACTTCCTTTTTTTTCTGCCATATTTCTTTGCCTGCCTGTGTATTACATGAATATAATCTGTCCTCAGGACAATGGCAGGTCACCTTACCCCTGCTCTCTTAGAAAAATCCATACAAACTGGCTGAAGACAAAAATAGTCCTTGCAAGTGTGTGTCATTCTTTCTTGCTCAGACATGTGGACTCAACAGGAAAATGGACATTTTGAAGCAGACTCTGAGCTTGGATTAATCTAATATTGCAGTATGATCAGCATATGTGCAAAACTGCCACATGCAATCTAGAATAAAAAGCATAGTTTATTACTACCTGAGGGGATGGATGGGTGAGTAAAACAAAAAAGGAAAGAGGAAGAAAAGTACAGTTAAAATAGAGTTAATATATCAAGTAGGTTATATAGAAGGGGTGGAAACATAAAAATATATATTTAACCATGGCAGTACATAAGTTTTGCTTAATAAATTGTCCTCATTTTAATAGCAGGGTTTTTGTTTGGTTTTGTTTCCTGGACTCAGCATCGTTTACCTTCAATAATCCATCCAGACTTATCCATAGCACACGTTAAAATACATACTAAAAACTATCCATTTGACACTTGTATGGCTTATTTGACTTCTACAGATGTACATGAAATCACAGCAACCTGGGGTGAAATCCAACCTTATTAATCAGCTCTCTTTAAGTCCTCTTTTAACTTGACTGGCTGACATTTTCTTTTAGGCTCCCAGGAGATGGATTAATTTTGCTTGCAGTGATTAAAAATCAGATAGGCTATGAAATTTCTGTGTGTACTTTGCCAATGCAAGGCAAGCATTGCACTGAAATTATCTTTGGGATTTTCAATCCTGTTGGCAGAATTTAATAGGGATGCTTGATCAATTGTACCCTATTACATATCAGTGAAAGTAGCAACATTCTCATCAATTTGATAGAGAACTAAATTATATCACCTACTATCCCACCAAAAATTAAATACTATCTGCGTGTAGGAGTCAATACTGTCATTGGCATGAAGTGCTAGCTAATGTGAATTACAAAACTGATGGCCCAGGGTAGCTGAGCACTTGAGGCTGGGGCTCCATGAATCACTCCTGCATCACAGGATGTTGGTGAGAAGGGCACCAAATGGAGAAGCAGAATCCAGGTTCTTTCTGCTACTTCCATAGTTGTGGTAGAGTCCAGGGACACTTGTTATTTGTATTTGTTGGCAGGAAATTTTTATGTTGGAAAAGAAATATTGTACATGGAGATTTTAAAATGCCAAGAAGGAAGCAAACTGAGCATCTAGGAGAACAGAATTAGTGTCTGGGCACAATTATTTAATGCTCTAAAAGATGCATGCTTGGCTGACATCTACAGGATTTAAACAGTGCAGGTTTCAGTCTTGGGAATAAGTTAAAATTGATGGATTTATGCCCTGGCACAA